TGCCCATTTATCTTGCTTCTAGGAAATTCTTTAAGCATTTTCACAGCTCTCTGTAGATTGGGCCCTGGGTGCCACATCAATCTTACCATTCATTGCAAAAACTGTGCACAGCTTGCTTCTGACAGTTAAGTCTTGCTACTTGGCCTCTGTTATTTCAGGATCCTATCATACTTATTTCTATTAAGGAGCCCAGTTCTGTAGCAGTGTCTCCTCCAATCAACCCTGGCATACAGAAGAGTGCCTCCACTAAGATTCTCAGTAACCTTCTTAACAATGCATTTCTTATCACTTTGGTAAATGGTATGTCCTCCCTGCCTTCACTTAAGAATGCAGTCAGCTAGTGGGTTTTCCATCCCCACACAGGCTATGCACTCCAGCATGCCCACCTCTCTGAGTCACTTGACACCTCTTCCAGTTGGCCCTGGCAATTATGGCATTTCCACTTCACTTACCATGGGCTGTTGCTTTCTCCGAGCTTCCAAGAGTCATCTTATCACCCTTGCCAGAGTGATAAATCCTGTGTCCTGGGAGACTGCTCCCATTCTCAATAAACTCTCCTTTATCCAAATTTGGTCAGTCTTCTCCATGACTGTATAGCTATCTATGAAAATGAGCCAAATATTTCCTTTTGTGTGCAAAATGGTACTATAACATCCCTTCATTAAGGATTGTCTGGCTAGAAGAAAGGGACACCTGTTGCATCCCAGCCCAGGTTCTGAGATGAAGAAAATGAAGCCTAGAAGTGTTGCTTTCTGGAGATCTGCCATCTTGCAGTGATGATACATGATTAATATAGTATTTTTTATTCAATTTTTAAAGTCAAGATGAAAAGGCCATATGGGTTATTCCAAAATGTGCATTGGTTTTGCATATATACAATGTGGCTCCAAATTTGTTCTTGCATACAGTGTTTATAAATGCAAGAATAATGGCTTACTTAGCATCTCTGCTAACTTAGATTGCAGGTTTTATTGTAGAGCACACTTTTCTGTGGGGGAAGGGGGAAGTGAGGGAAGCAGTGGGCACAAATGTTTCCAGGTTTTGCAACAAAATGCTGATTCTTTTTATTGATATTAACTTTAACTCTTTGATTTTTTTAAATAAATTTCTTCATCCAGTAGCATTGTTTATCTGAAACTCTCTTCGAAATTCATTACAGAAGTGAGAAGAAGAGTAGCAAATATGATTTATCAAGCACTTATGTGCACGGTCACACAGGTTGTGTACTTCACAAGGGCACCAGCACTTCTAACGGGGCACAGTTCACATGTTAGACATCATGGATTTGCATATTTATAGAGAATTTTCCAGCAGATGGCAGTAAAGTGTGTTGCTCTAACAAAATAAGACTATTACAATAATTTCTGCCAGATGGAAATAAACTATCTTGAGGACTGGGCACCTTTTATATTTGTACAAAGATATATAGAGTAACAGTGGCACCATTTACTACATGCCATGCCTTCTGCTTGCTCATCCTCACTTAATCCTCAGAATCTGATGAAGTGGGTGCTATTAGCAAATTGCCAAGGCCACTGACTGGGGTAGTAGTTTTGAGATTCTTATACGGGTCTACTAAGGCCTAGAGACTTGGGGAGACTTGCTGTGGTCAGAGTGAGCGTGACCTAAGGTCAACCAGGAGCCTAGAGGCCCTTACTCTCAGTCCAGCCTGCTGCTAGTTCTCCTGTGTGCTCATCACAGTGCTGGGTGACACTGGGGACTGAGAACAGGGCACATTTCACTCATCTAAGTAAAAGGTCATCTTCAGTTAGTGAAGAAAAATATGGGAAAACGTTGACATTCCCTTTGGCACTTTACTCACTTGTTTGTATGACTTAAACTACATATGCAAACAGAAATATAAAAAACAGAACACTCAATATCGGTTACAGTAGTTCAGAGAATTGGACTTCTTTATATCCAAAAATACTTTGAGTAAACATTTACTATCAGTAATGCATAAATTTTAGCAAGAGTGGGCTGGGCACGGTGACTCATGCCTGTAATCTCAGCACTTTGGGAGGCCAAGGCGGGCAGATCATGAGGTCAGGAGATCGAGACCATCCTGGCTAACACGGTGAAACCCTGTCTCTACTAAAAATACAAAAAATTAGCCAGGCATAGTGGCGGGTGCCTGTAGTCCCAGCTACTCGTGAGGCTGAGGCAGGAGAATGGCGTGAACTGGGAAGGCGGAGCTTGCAGTGAGCTGAGATCACACCACTGCACTCCAGCCTGGGTAACAGAGCGAGACTTCCGCCTCAAAAAAAATAAAAACAAAAAATAAAAAAACAAAATTAGCAAGACTGTATTACCACAAATTCTATATACGTGAGGAAATTTAGAGGCTTTATTTAATGTATAAATATCTATACCAAATCACTTTGCAATAATGATATATATTGGTATAATGTTCTTTATCCAGCATTCAGTTTAAATCTACTTTATAAAATGTATCAATCATGAATAAAAGAAGCCCATTTATAAATATTTTGTATTGACCTCTAACTTAATCTCCAATGAAATATTTTTTTTCTAAACCCATTAAAATTAAAAACACAGTGAAAACTCTTATCTTCCATGAAACAAGCAAACTGCGGTAACTTTTGGTTTTAATTTAAAAATAACATGTGTAGCATGAATACATTTTTCCAGAGTTTTTCTAGCTGTACAAAGGTTTGGAGAGCTATTTGGAATTATCTCACCTTGTTAATGACAATTCTGTTTTGGGTTGTGAGATCTGGAGTCATATTTTTGCTTCTTTATCCATTCATATACTGCCTAATTTTTTTAAAAATATTAACTTATTGATACCTACAAAACAATAAAACCCACCATTCTTTAAAGTAATATTACTGAATATGCATCTAATTTTATGGCCTATCAAGGCCTCGTAAGAACAAAACAACATGAGTATTTATGTTACTAGAAAAATAAGAGCATGAACAAATCTAATTTTAAAAGTCAAAAGTATCTTAAACAACTGGTAAATGTAATAATTATAGGACAGCCATTTGATCCTTTTAATCTCCTGAAAGCTACAAATCATTTTTTAAACAGTGAATTCTGTGGCAGAATAAGCCACAGTGTACATAAACCTCAACATTTGGTAGCACCTATCTTAATCAAAGAATTGGCTATTTGAAAACACAACAGAAAAATTCTTCATTCTTTCAAGGTTAGTTTCTAAACTTGACATCTGGGATAGGAAATGGGCCTCACCCAGGAATTTAAGGTCAGGGTTTATGTTAAGCAGGACTTCAAATCAAGTTTAGAAACAAGCAAACCTTTCATCCTTTCTTTAAGGAATAGGGTTTTCTTTGAGAGGGAAGGGGTTAGAAAAACAGGTCAATATCCTGCAAATATGGGGCTGTCATTTGTTTTTCCATACTACATTAAATATGCCTGTTTTGTGTTCAGTGTCTTGTGCCTATTCCACTGCCTGTGTCTGGGCAAATGTGTTTATATTGGAAAACTCCATGAGGGCAGGAAATGTAGGGGTTTTTTTTAAATCACAAATCATTTGGCTTGAACTACACTTATGTAAGATTGTATGGGACCTGGGGGAATACTGCACAATTGCTGGCTAAAATATGTAATCTGCCATTGACTATCAGGTTTTCCATTAATCAGATGTCGAGTTTGTATAAAATGGATTTGTTTATAACATTGTTATGTTCACCACTGCAGGTTATCTTCATAAGCTTCTTATGAGTAAGCTGAGCAACTATTATCACCCTTACTATAATACTTAACAGAGAGAGACTAGAACCATGTTTTCAACATCTCTTTTCAGGTACCACTGATTTCATCTATTTCCACAACACATGAAAGGACTGAATCTATAATAATAAGGTCCCAAGTAATTCCTGAACTGAAGTCCTAAAAATAGTTGTTCATGTAAGTTGAGAATTCCTAAGAACAGGGAAATTTTAAATAAACTCCTGGGGTTGAGGGTGGGTAGGGAGCAATGGGACAGGGATTTGTTTGCACAGGGAATTGACAAAATTCACATGGGGGTGGAAAATATCAGTGGATATCATTAATAACAGGCATTATTTTTGCCCTATGACAAATGAAAAAGATTTTGTTTTTATATATATTTTTAAAATCTCACAACATACTTTTCAAAAAGTAAAGCTTCATTTTGTTTAAAGTGTTTTATGTCAAGAAACATTTCACAGCATAAATTTTCCACAATGCATATGGTCAGATTATAACACCCATCTGAACACTATTAAGTATTTTATTACTTATTTGTTTAGTACTATTTGATAAGTATGAAATTATCTATGAAGTGAAAAACTTCAACTAGGAAATTTGACATTCCAACAATATCTGAGGTGGTTTTTACCCAGACAAACTAATTTCTGTCGTTACCAACACATCTAAGAATGGCCCTAATGAAGAAAGGTAAAAACTACTTTTATTTTCTCCAATTAAAAGATTCATAAGACAAGCTATGTAGGCATGAAGGAAAGAAAGGAAAGCTATAAAACTGGGAATACAAATTACATTTTCCTATTCAACAGGTCAAAGAAATTGCTGCAAGGAAACAAAATAGGCCCAAGGAAGTATTAAAAAAAATGAAATCACCAACAATCTTAGCCGGATATAAGGCAAAACGAAATGGGGTAATCTTGGGTATTATGAAGTTTTAAAAGACGCAACAAAGTTATGCACTGTTAGGAAATAATGATGACAGAGATGAATCCAGAAAATACAAAAAACAAATAGGTAGCTCCTTTTGCATGAAAAATAAAAAAAAAAAAAAAGAGAGAGAGTCCAAGAAGGAAACCTGAAAACAGAGTCAGACTGGAAACACCGTGGCATAGGGGCTGTGGGGGTTACCACTCACCTCCTCCAGGAGAGAGCAGCAGAAGTAATATCCCTTTAAAGCAAAAGACACACACACAGCAACTAATCAAGACCCATAAATCCAATCACATATTCCCCAAGGTCAGTAACACACTGGATAGGAAAAATGAAAAGGACAATTGTAATGCTGTTTTTATTTAAAATTTTATTGAAACCCTCTTTCACCCGTTTACCGCTTCCTAAGTGAAAATGCATGTTGAAGTCTGAGCCTGATGGTATTATCTTCAAATTATTCCTTAAATACCTGAAAATGTGACTTTTGAAACTTGGGAAAGTGAAGCTAGGACAAGGATCCATTTTACATGCCTGCTTCTTTGTTTATTCATGAGCAGAGCTAGACTAAGAAACCTTTCAATGAGAAGGAGAGCATGTATACAGGAGTATAACTCTTTATTCTGAATTCTACCCTCACTGGCCCCATGAAAGGTAAGGAACACTTTAGATAGGGTGGGGAAGGGATTTTGGAAAACTTGTGATAAAGAGGAGTAAATTCTTCCTAAACTTGGCAAAACCTAACAGGTTACCCACACAGTCTGTGTCTTAAGTTAATACACTCATGTAACTAGCATCAGAGTCTCCTTCAAGTGCCCTGTATATGTCATCAGTTTCCTCTTTCAAAGATATCTCTTCTGTATCCTACTATATAGTTAGCAAGGCCAGCTTTCCTTGCCTATGTCTATGACGAATTGGCTAGAATAATTTAGGGTTTTTGAATGCCATCTCTTATCTGTATCTCATCGGAGGTGTCTGCATGTAATAAATGCCTTAAAACCCTTTAACGTGTTTTTAAAATCTACTTTTAGAGCAAGTCCTATGCATGCGAATGACCAGGAATAGTTCTTCATATATTCAAGCTACTAATGTTTAAAGTATTATATAAATTTAGAAAATATTATCTAAAGGTATTTCCCATTAAATAAATCTAGAATATACTTAGTTCAAATATTTAGGAAGATTTAATTACTGTTACTCATAACTACTCTGCTGTGAATTTGAGTATCAAAATATAACTTTGCTTAGTTATTAAGTGGTTGATAGCTGTCCACCCTCTGCAGAAGTGTATCTGAATATCCAGGGGAATAATACCTGAAAAAGAAAATACGCCATTAAATGCTTGTGAAATGATCAACACAGCAGGCACATAAGATGCAGTATAGGGGATTGATCTGAAATAATCCTGTGAGTGAAATCTCAAATACACTCTGAATAATTATGCTCCAGTAACACTTTGTGCATAAAGTTAGAGGCTATCCAGGAAGAGAATACGAATTCATAAAACTGTGTTAGAGAAGTAGCAAAACATTTAAGGGATATAAATGTAATGGCAAATGGGAACATTTTCCAAACAAGAATCTTCAATCCAGTGACAATATTTTATTACAGAAACTTCATTTTAATCATATCAAGTGGCCAATGTTGCTTTAAGGATCATAGCTAATAGATCTTTTTCATAAGTTAGACTACACAGTCTATTGTTACTAATCAACTTCTGCATTCTAACTGCCTTAGAGATCATTCTCAGCATGGGTTTTAATCAGATGTGGTCCCCTAGGAAAACAAAAATTTCTGGGAGTATAATTCATATTGAAAAACTATTTAATAAAATATAATTTCATATTGAAAAACTATTTACAAATACTTGTATCATACAAACCTATGAAATTAATCATTTTTACTATCAATAGTTCTTGGGCATCTATAGTACTATACATTTACATTCATAAATTGAACATTTTATACAAGATTTAGTATAAAGTATTAAATATGTAGATCAATCAATTGTGAGATGCTTAGTATGTCATGGAAATAATTTACATGCAGATAAATGAATGTCAAATAAAATTTAGCAGGCATTCTAGAATAATTTTTTAAAATTTATAAAGTATAATTCAAAAATTCTCAAATCACCCAAAATAGTTAAGCTTCTGAAGGCATTTTCTCCAGATAAAACCTAATATTAGAGACTTGCTTTGCCTTTTGTTAGTTATCTTTATCTATGCCAAGATGCTTGACCTAAAAACTCATAATTTATATTACACTAAAATTCCTTCCACAATTTATCAAGTTAAGGTGGACCAAAAAAAAAAATACAGCTGTATTTTCTTAGTAGTGTGCTTATAGGCATACAGAAACAGATACTTATGTACACACCCAAAAAGCTACCTGAAAGAATGTTTCTCCCTAACAGTCTCTTACTCTTGAAAAAATTATCTTTTAACAGTGGGTTTCTTTGAAGTATTCTTACACTGAGAAATTCACAACTGTTTCTTCTCTGAGTTAGTAAAACATTTTAAAGCAGACTTTACCTTCCTAGGCCTTCAAATGTATCAGACACCAGATAATATGAATTCAAGAGGTAGATTTTTAAATATCTTTAAAATTTTAACATTTTAATTTAAATATTAATAAATTTTATATTTTAATGTAATAAATATTTAATTTACCATACTAATATATTAATATTTTATGTATTTAATAATATAGTATTCTTAGTATTGATATAATGATGTTATCATTGATATTAGATTAATAATAATTGTTATTACCATGATAAATATGGGAGCCACCAACTACATGTAGACTGAATGGGAGCCACCAGCTACTGAGGACTAGAAAAATGGCTCGTATGGGCCGGGCGCAATGGCTCACACCTGTAGTCCCAGCACTTTGGGAGGCTGAGGAGGGTGGAACACCTGAGGTCAGGAGTTCGAGACCAGCCTGACCAACATGGCAAAACCCCATCTGTGCTAAAAATACAAAATTAGCTGGGAATGGTGGTGCATGCCTGTAATCCCAGCTACTCAGGAAGCTGAGGCAGGAGAATCGCTTGAACCCCGGAGGTGGCAGTTGCAGTGAGCCGAGATCGCGCCATTGCACTCCAGCCTGGGCAACAAGAGTGAAACTCCATCTCAAAAATATAAATTAATTAAAAAAAAAAAAAAAGGCTAGTATGTCTGTATTTGGATTATATAAAATTTGCAGTTGAAAAAATAGACTCACAAGTTGTTCCAAACATATCTAAAAGTTTTCCAAAAACTGAATCAAGTGTCAGTTTTTAAATTTTAAATTCAGTATTAAAAATTCAGTTTAATAGACATACTAGCCATTTTTCTAGTCCTCAGTAGCCATATGTAGCCCTTTGGCTAAGCATTTTCTCATTTAATTCTAACTATATGAAATAGGTAATCATCTTTAATCACCTTGTATAGATGCGGAAACTGTGGCTAAAAGGGTTAACTATTACCTTCAAGGTAATAGTTAGTTATAGTAAGTAGTTATAACTGAGAGAAGAATTAAGGTCTGTTTGACACCTAAGCCTGAGCTCTTAGCATACTCCTTTGGAAAGAAAATGAGCTTCTAGATAAGACCAGGAAATTCCTTCCCTCTGGCCAGCAAACACGGCTATCCCAACTTACCTCTAAATGGCCTTTAAGAATGTAAGCGAATTGCCCTTATCCTAGACCCACAGAGAATTGGGGTTATTATTATATTGTTATGATACCAGAAATATGCTGAATGGCAGACTGTGTCCATATCTCCCTCCCCAAATTAGATGTTGCCCCAAAGCTGCTTCCCCATCCCAGCTGAGGCAGAAATTTTGAAGAAAAATGAGTTCAAAAACACCTTATGGCTGTGGAGTGAGCCAGGCCCAGAACTTAGGTCTTCTAATGTCTAGTCCAGACCCCTTTCCTCTCATTTACCTACCTTTCTTTATTAAAAAAATTTAAAGATTACTAAATCAGAAGGCAATATGAAACAAATGTTTAGGTTAGTAATAGATGAATGTACCAGTTGATAAACCGTCTTACAAAGAATAATTAATTCTAAAATAGTTGTCACCAAGTGATTCTCGAGAATTATGTAATTGTAAAAATAAAACTATTTTGAGATTATATTTGTCTATTTTCATAGAAGGACAACATTTCCAAGATGTCTATAAAATACCATTTTATAGAACCTAATGCTTTAAGACATAACTGAGGTTTTCCTACTTGCCCTGTGTGGGTAAAATACATATATATCAGAAATTTGAAAACATTAGTCAGGTAACCAAAGTTCTTTATGATAATTAGCCAATTTTAAAAATAAAAGCTCAGCCCACAGAACTGGAGCAGTTAAAAATTTACAATGGTATTTTGACAAGGCACTAGATTAATTTCTAATGTGATGGAGTTGGCTGTTTTTCCTGGTGCTCAATTAAAATATGCCTTCAAAAAAGTGGGAAAAAAACTTCTCTTCAACAAAGCACCTTACCATTGGTTGATTCTAATAGGTCATTCATTCTGGGGACGCTTTAGTTTTTTTTTTAGTTTTTTTTTTCATGTCTTTCTATAACTTTGTGACAAAATTGCATTGAAAATTACCTTAAACTTATATAAAATACCATTCTTCCTGAAGGGACATATATTCCATGTATAAAAATTAATTTTATTTTCTTCATAAAAGATTTTAATATTTCCTTCATTTAATGGTTTTACATTAAATGAATGTTATATAAACTTTTAAAATATATATTTGTGGCCAGGTACGGTATGGTGGCTCACGCCTATAATCCCAGCACTTTGGGAGACCAAGGTGGGTGGATCACAAGGTCAAAAGAGCTAGACCATCCTGGCCAACATGGTGAAACCCTCTTTCTACTAAAACTACAAAAAATTAGCTGGGAGTGGTGGCACACACCTATAGTCCCAGCTACTTGGGAGGCTGAGGCAGGAGAATAGCTTGAACCCAGGAGGCAGAGATCTCAGTGAGCCAAGATTGTGCTACTGCACTCCAGTTTGGAGACAGAGCGAGACTCCATCTCAAAAAAATAAATAAAAATAAATTTGTATATGTAGACAAATTATACATGTTATGATATATCACTACTTTCATGTATCATATATATTAATATTTCAAAACTGACTTATTGGAACTCTTTTGGTCAAGGAGTTCTCATAAACTTTCTAAAAGTGCACAAACTTGCAACTCTGGAAAGAATTTACTGGGTAAAAATATGTGGATAGAAAACAAATGTTAATCTTAAAATTGCTTTTGTGCTTTTAAAATTAATGTTACCATATGTATTAAACACTATTGATATTAAATAGGAAGAATTAACAGACATGTTACAACTTACGTAAGTATATGTTACAGCATGTAAGTTTTAAAAATTAGAATTTATATTTTCCAATATTAATCAAAGAAAATAAGAAATAAATGTAGGATTAGAAAACATAGATAAATATGTCTTTATCTTGCATGCGTTGGGGGCATTTTTAAAGATTCAGTTGTTTAAATCATTCTATCTTTTTTTGGTAACTTTGCTTTTATTTATTTTGAGTTTAGTGGAATAGTTCTCCTTTAGGTTTACAAGGACTGAGGCTTAGGCTGAATGCTCTGCAAATCAACTTCATTTAAAAATGAATCTTTTTATTAATCTTGAAAACAGCATCTTGCTATATTACTCTGAAGTACCTGTATATCATAAACATTATTTTGGGTTTTTTTTGCATTTAGATAGTAACTTCTTTTGGTTACTCAACATCGGTTTAATATGCAGGGAACTATGAAAATCAGAATCTATAGGCCTTTTATAATCAGATATTCACAATTTAAAAACTGGTTACTTTGAACTCTATATTTGGGTACTTTTTAGTAAAGCATGTGTTAAATTAGTACAAAAATGTTTTTGATGACATTCCAGTTTGAATTGGAAATGTGCGTGTCTGTCAGATCATTAATTAATTTGGCAGGGGGAAGAGATCAAGAGAGGAATAAAGGTACATATTGGCCTCACATCATATTTCAAAGTCCACATTTTGACACAGTGGATATAAAACCTAGATTTGAAGACAGAAAAACTATATTCTAATATTGAACATTTCAAAGTCCATTTTCCCTACCTCACTATTTCCTCTGGGTAACAATTGTTAATACTGTTGATGTATTCTTGAAGGAGAGAACCAGGTTCTGCTTTTATCTCTTGAACTTTTTTAAGGCCACCACTTGTTACGAAAAGTCGTCGAGCTTTGCTATCATGCGGCAGCACCTTGCAAAGTGAAGCACATAAAATGTCAGCTTTTCTTTTCCAAGTTAGATTATTACTATTGAGAAGCAATAATGTATGTAAGAAAATGTAAAAGATAATTTATACCCAATATACCTATAACATAATGAGCCAAATCTGCTGCTGATTTGAAGTGAAATATGCTCTTTTTAGAATGTGTTAATTTTTAGGCTAAAGAAATGAAATAAAGGCAATGAACATGGGCAAAGGCAATGGAGATCCACTCACAGATGTAAAATACAAAGCTTACACCATTCAAGGTCCCTCTGCTCCCTGAGAATTTAAAGGCAAGCTCCTTAACAAGGCACAAAGGGTCCTCTGGGACCCAGCTCCTAAATACCTCTCCAGCCACCACTACTCTCCGTCCTAAATATTGTTTCAGTAACATCACAGCATGCATGCTGTGCCATCTCTTGCCTTTGCCCATGCTGTTACCTCTTCCTAAAATGGCTTTCCACACTCCACAAACCTCTCCCGTTATGCTTGGTTAGCTCTTAGTCATCTTTTAAGACTTAGCTCAAGTGTCACCTCCTTTAAGAATCCTTCTCTGGAAGCCCCTATCCCCTTATCCCAGGATGAATTGAGTCCTTCTCTTCCATCAGCATTCTGTCAAACCGCCCATCCGTGTGCTTACCACATAATACCTAAATACCACACAATATTTTAACTTTAATTTTTAATTATGCATTATATGTCTGTCACAATGTCACTGAAGGCAGAAACTATACTTGACTTCATTCATTCATTTCCCTCTAGCCTGGTACCTAACAGAGGTTTGACAAATGTTTAACAAATGAATAAATACACTAAAGTGTAGGCAGAGAAAGGAGACTGAAATGTTAGAGAGACAGAAGACCAGAAATGTAAGGAATCAATAAATCCAAGAGAAGGTTTCTTAAAGCAACCAATGAAAACTAAAAAACAAGTCATCACTGGATCTGACAGTGAAGAAAGGGGCTGAAGACTTGAGTAAAGGCAGCTGTGTGTGGAGGGGAAGTTGAGGAAGCCAGGTTATCAGCAGCTGAGGAAAGTGTCCCAAGTAAGGAAGTCAAGACAAACTTTAAAGTTTCAGAAAGAGAAAACAGAGGGAATCAGTAGACCAAGGAAGGATAGAACTAAAGGCTAAAGATGTTGCAGGTTTTGATCTTAGGATCAAGGAGACTTGAGCACGTTTGCATGTTGACAGGAAAAAGCCAGTGAAAATGAAGAAATTTATTATGAGAGACAAAAAAAAAAAAAAAAAAAAAAAAAAAAGACTGACCAGACTAGGAAGGTCCTGGGGAAGGGGTGGGCTCACAATGTGGGAAGTCCTGCTCTCTTCCTTGGTCACTGCTACTATCCCTCTGACAGAAACACCCTTTTTTCCCATCTTTTTCCTTCTGCAAGGAGACCAGCTCCTTTTACTTGTCCTTCCTCCATTGAAGCCCTATCTGAACATTTCAGACTACATTCACTCATTCCTTCTTTTAAACAAGTTTATCTCCCACTCTAGTACATTGAAATGTTTTCTAATTGTTTTGTCTGCTCTCCTCAGCTACATTATAAAGTTCCCTGAAGAACAACTTAATCTTTTTTGTCTGTTCCCCAGTGCTCAGCAGAGAGCTGGGTACATGTAGGCATTTAACAAATAACTAAAACCACAAAAGGATCTTGCTAATAGAACAATAATATAAATCAACGGACAATAAAAGATTGCACTAGTATGTATTTGTAAAAAATGTAATATTCCATAAATATATTGGTTTTACATATTTCGTTTGGCCTGGAGAATTTTCATTACTCCCTATCTCTGTCCCTAGCCACTTCAGTACCTTTTCACCTTCTACCTTGCTTTATCATCTCTTTTTAGTGCTTTGGTATCTTTCGATTAAGAAAATATTCCTGAAGGCACATTGATAAGTGTATATGATACAGGTACTGTATTTATTTTATCTTGGGGCTAACTTCCACACATCCCACTGGTTTTACGTATTTTGAACTCAATGTAGGTTACTGTTTACTTTCATAGCTACTTCAATAAAACCAGAATATCTCACTCACTAGCCTAAAAAATTAAACTACAAAATGAAACTTTCAGAAATAATGTCAATTACCCAGTTCAAGAACAGATGACTCTGTCTGTAGATGATCTACGCAGCCCCGACCCCTTATCACTCTTAGATGACCAAATTAGCTGGTCACTTTCTTAGCACCCAAAAGTACAAAAAAAGAAAGAAAGAAAGAAAGAAATTGATCAATTTCCCTTGCGGTAATTTAGTCTTTTCTCTGCATTATTTGGTTATTTAGTTGGTTTGTCAAGAGGGCATGCCATTATATCTCCCACATCCCTTATAACTAAGAGGGGGAGGTTATTTTCTTGGAAGGAGGAAGAAAGGACATAGGTGTTTGATATACAGAACTGTATCCTGCCTCGGTGAGTGGCTTCAGCAATGTGAAACTTCTACTTTCCTGTGGCTCTGGCACTTGAGGGCCAGTTATACTGTTGGAGATCATGAACAGAGTTGAGAGAACTGAAGGCTGTTAGCAGACTCTATCTTTCAGATGAAGACCTAAACTAGACAAACTTATTTGCAGGGACTACTTTAAAAGTTATAACAATACATAGTTTTTGTTCATTATTTGTAGAAACATAGTATATGAATAGTAATTTCTCATTTATATAGCATTATAACTGACTATTCAAATGAATTTGCCACCCCCCATTCATTTTTTTTAAAAATCTTTTAAATTAGCCTGACCCACTTGCACATTTTATTTCTTAAATACAACTCTTTGGTTGTTTTTGTTCTTTTGAATGTTTAATATGTACCTGGGATTGAGCTAAATGCTTAACATACAATAATATCTCATTTACTCTTTACAATGACCCTATGAAATAAGTACTCTAATTATTTACATTTTATGGGTAACCAAACTAAGGTTTAGAGAGGTCAATATTTTGTTAAAGAATTATAGAGCTGGTAAGTGGGAACTCCAGGTACTCCAGTTCAGAACCTGAGCTCATAACCACCATGGGCTACTACTCGCACAGACCCCATTTTCCTAAGCCAAATTCACTGAGCATAATTTAGCCAGCTCTTGACAGCTTAGGGTCACCATCCTGACTGTCAGTGTCTGTGGTAATAGAGTCATTCTCTTTTATCCTTTGCTATTGGTAATCAGCTCTGCTGGCTGTGCCCACTTCTAGCAGCTTGACCTTTCTACCTTACTACCATTTACTATCATTTAATCTGCAACAATCTAAGAAATATGACAGCTATATTTGTTAAAATTGTTCATAAAATAAGTCAATATGCTCCAAATGACTGTCTGAGAACATCTCCAGTAAAGCACATGAACTTTGTGAAAGATGTTTCAGTGGCTCAGAAACCTTTTTCCTTTTCTCTTTATGATCTTTACAGTACTCCCAGGTGAGTGAGATGAAAGACACTAGAAAGATTACTAAAAGTCACTTACCAATATAAATTATCTATATTATGAGATTTTTATTTTCTGGGAACAGTTAAAAAGACAGTAGAGGCTTTGAGGAAAATGTGAGGATGAAGAAAGTGTTTTATTTACATGTGAATTTTGTTAAGGTAACTTCCCTGTCCATACAGATTGGTGAGAGTTAAGCAGTAAAACCATGACCCCGTCTTACAGAAAAAGCTACTGACCCAACAGAAAAAAAAAATAATAAGTTAACAAATCATTTTAATTTCCTCCTCCCCTTAGAGGCTGGCATTTCTTACCTTACTGAACTGTCCAACCACATGCTTCAGAATATTGGGAGGAGCATCATATAGAAATGGTTCAAGGGCTGGTAAGTAAGTGCATTTTTGCAGGATACTCTTTATGGCTTTTTTACTCTTGAAATACAAAGCAGAATGTATATATAAGTAAATAATCAATGAAACCTTGGCAAGAATTCAAATCTCACATTACAGGAATTTGAAAATAAAATCAACTTCCTGGTCTAAGCTGCAGTTGTTTCATTTTTTTAAATTGCTGTCAAAAAAAAAAAAAAAAAAAACTCCTGCTTTGATTGGTTTTATCATAGAATATCCTACAAGTTGTCTTTGTGTTAAGCCTTAAAATGTAAAGTGTATTACTGAGCTCTTAAAATACCTAGAAGAAAATTAAAATCATAAAGCGCAAAGTTACAGACTATAAATTAATATGTACTATATTAGAGTAAAAATTTGTATACAGGAAACTGAGATAACTAATACATCCCATTTCTACTTGTCAATAAGTACAAGAAAATAATTTAGTTTTTTGAAGAATGTCATTATAGGCTTTCTATATTCTCCATGATTTCATGGCTTATACATAGGCAGTCAAAATGGCTACAGTGTGCATTATTCAATGAGCATTTGCAGAGGTGCTGCTATAGCTCGTGGGTAGACATTTCCCCATTCACAGAAGCAAAACAGATAGGATCTACTCAACTGCAGAGAAAAGATCTTCTCAACAGTAGGGAGTGTATCACCCACAAGCAGAAGAATACGTACCATATGTACCATTTCTACCCCCTCCTGCACTCCGTATTTCAAGGTGACATCATGTGGTGCTGACCCTTGCCACAAGTGGAGAAGGGCCCTGATGGGGCTGCTGCACATCATGGCAGCCAGCCCTCAGGCCATGGCTAGTTGTGGTTCATTTTGTTTGTCTTAAAGGTTGTCCCCTTCAGTTGGAAAGCTTCACAGTTGGGTTTGTCTCCAGCTATTTTCCACTAGAATTCCACATCTGCTTGACTGAGGTTTTGTGCTTCAGTGCTCCCTTATGGTTTTTCTCTTCACTTATTCTTTCTCTGAGGCCTTACCCAACCTGGTCTTCTGAGATCACCATACTGTTTTGCTGCTGAGTATTTTGAAATGCTCTTGAAATGTCAAGGAGCATTGTGATTTTCACATCATGAACTTTTTAATTGATAAATCGATTCAGCAAAACTTTATCACAGGTTTGTTATTGGTAAAGAATCTCTTGAATTTAAGGTTTCCTGGAGACCCAGGCTAAGTAGTCTTGCACAGCCTCTTATTGCTTGACACATTTATCCCCAAACACTGTTTTACAAATTAGATTAAATAAAACAAGGAATGTAAAATATGCAGCTCAGCTTTTTCCCACAAGTAGTATAATGTAAGTTGGAATTAAACTCTCAATTCCCAATATACTTGGGAACTATCTTAAATCATGGTAATCTTAGCAAGCTAACAAATTTAACTTCACTGTTATCAGTGAAAACGTCCTTGAACAGTGTAGCAGAAATCACATACACTGTACAATAAAGACACCCTTATTCTAGTAGTTCTAAGTTGATGTGTTGTTAAGTTATTAATCAAGAACTGTAGAAAAGAGTCTGATGACACTAGAAATTCACTGAGCTTTACTATCTTTCATGTGGAAGAAATATAATCAGCTTATGATTACATTCTTCTAGATAGAAATGTATATCATAATTCATAATCAGCTGTATTATCCAGCATGATAGAAATCCTAGTTACTTAAGACTTTGTTTACATGTCTATTTGACAATGAAAAGGAATGAAGTACTGACACACACAACAACATGAACGAACCTCACAAATGTTACCCTTAGTGAAAGACACCAGGCACAAAAGTTCACATACTGCATAATTTCATTTATATGGATTGTCCAGAAAAGTCAACTTTAGAAAGACAGAAAGTAGATTATAGTTGTCTGGAGCTGGTAGGTATAATTGAGAGGAGGAAGAGGGAGTGACTACAAATGGGCATGAGGCTTCCTTCTGGGATGATGAAAATATTCTGAAATTTGATTGTGAAGATGGTTGCACAATTCTGTAAAGTTACTAAAAATCATTTAATTGTGTACCTAAAATGAGTGAATTTATGGTATGTAAATTATATCTCAATAAAGTTGTTAAAAAGACTTAAACTCAGCCGGGCATGGTGGCTCAGGCCTGGAACCCCAGCAGTTTGGGAGGCCAAGGGAGGTGGATCACCTGAGGTCAGGAGTTCGAGACCAGCCTGGCCAACATGGTGAAACCCTGTCTCTACTAAAAATACAAAAATTAGCCCGGTATGGTGGTGGGTGCCTATAGTCCCAGCTACTCAGGAGGCTGAGACTCTGTCTCAAGAAAAAAGAAAAAAAAAAAGACTTAAACTCCTTTCTTGAATTGCAAATGTTTTCTCTAAGTTTGTGTGGCTTGTCTTTTCATTTTCTTAATGTTAACCTTTTCTTTTTTAAAGACAGGATCTCACTTTGTTACTCAGGCTGCAGTGCAGTGTCAGGGTCATAGCCCACTGCAGCCTCAAATTCTTGGGCTCAAGTAATCCTCCTGCCTTAGCCTCCCAAGTAGCTGGGACTCCAGGGATGCACCACCACACTCTGCTAGTTTTGTTGTTTTTTTGTAGAGATAGAGTCTCACTATGTTGCCCATGCTGGTCTCAAAACGCCTCACCTCAAGTGATCCTCTTGCCTTGTCCTCCAAAGTGTTGGGATTATGGGCATAAGGCATGTGCCCAGGCTTAATGGTGTCTTTTGAAGCATAAGAGTTTTTTTCTATTTTGATGAAATATAATTTATCAATTTTTAAAGTCACTTGTGTTTAGGTAAAATATCTAAAAAATAATTGCCTAACCTGAGGTCACACAAATTTATTCCTAGGTTTCTTCTAAGAGATTATAGACTTAACATTTATATTTAGATCTATGATCCATTTTGAGATAACTCTGGTATATGGTATGAGATAGGGGTCCAAATTAATATTTTTACTTGAGAATACAATTGTCCCAGCACTTTTGTTGAAAAGACTATTCTTTCCACATTAAATTGCCTTGGCATCTTTATGAAAAATCAGATGATAAAAAGGGTTTATTTCAGATTCTCAATTCAATTCCATTGATACATATGTCTTTCTGTAAGCAAGTACCACATTATCTTGATCACTATAGCTTTGTGGTACATTTTGAAATTGGGCAGTGTTAAGTTCTTCTTTTTCAAGATTGTTTTGCTAGTCTGGGTTCTTTTCATTTCCACATGAATTTTCAGATAAGCTTCTCAATTTCTGGGGGGATAAAAAAGCCAGCTAGGATTTTGATAGATATTATGTTAAATATATAGATCAGTTTAGAGTATTGCCAGTTTAACAATATTGAATCTTCCAGTTCATGAACATGGAACGTCTCATAATTTATTTTTTAAGTTATGTTTTATAGTTTTCAGGGTACTAGTCTTAAACTTGTGTTAATTTGTATGTATTTAATTCTTGATGTTATTATGAATAAAATTATTTTCTTAATTTCATATTTGAATTGTTTGTTACCTGTATATGAAAATAAAATTGAGAGGCCAGCAGCAGTGGCTCACGCCTGCAATCCCATCCACTTTGGGGGGCCGAGGCAGGTGGATCATTTGAGCTCAGGAGTTCAAGACCAGCCTGGCCAACATGGCAAAACCCTGTTTCCACTAAACATACCAAAAAAATTAGCCAGGCATGGTGGTACATGCCTGTAATCCCAACTACTCAGGAGGCTGAGGCACAAGAATCACTTGAACCTGGGAGGCGGAGGTTGCAGTAAGCTGAGATTGCGCCAGTGCACTCCAGCCTGGGCAGCAGCCCAGCCTGGGCAACACAGTGAGACCGTCTCAAAAAAGAAAATACAATTGATTTTTGTATATTGATCTTGTATCCCATGACTTTGTTGAACTCTTATTAGTTCTATGATTTGTGTGTGTGTGTGTGTGCGCGTGTCTGTGTGTGTGAATTCCTTAGGATTTTCTACATACAAGATTATGTCACATGTTGGTTTTAAGATTCGTTATCTTCTAGAAGATACGCATTATGATTGGTTGTTTATGGCTGTGAGCAAAATAAAATAGCTCTTACAACTCCATACTATGAATTATACAGAAATTTTATGGGGCCAAAAAAACTCTCCAAGCCAGGCGCGGTGGCTCACGTCTATTCCCAGCACTTTGGGAGGCCAAGGTGGGCGGATCACGAGGTCAGGAGATCGAGACCATCCTGGCTAACATGGTGAAACCCCGTCTCTACTAAAAATACAAAAAATTAGCCAGGCATGGTGGCGGGCACCTGTAGTCCCAGCTACTTGGGAGGCTGAGGCAGAAGAATGGCGTGAACCCAGGAGGCAGAGGTTTCAGTGAGCCAAGATTGCACCACTGTACTCCAGCCTGGGTGACAGAGCGAGACTCTGTCTCAAAAACAAAAACAGCAGCAACAAAAAAAACCTCTCCTATTTACCTAACTCAGTAAATCAAGTAATATCTTACCTTGGACTAATGAATAACAGATTATAAATTTTGCTAATTGTCACTGCATTTAGTAGTTAATGTTTATCCTTAGACACAATATATGATGATGTCAGAGAAGGAATCCTGAGCTATATATTGAGGGCATTCTGAGGGTTTGAGCCTGGTTTCCTTATAAACTAGCATAGCATCTACAGTTCTAAATTCATTCATTTTTCTATCATTTCTAAAAACTGACTGTATCCTCCCCGATTCGGGCTATTGGAAAAACCACATAACTAACAACACTATTTTTTACCTCTTAACACTACACATAAAAATAGCAATTAACAAAATAAAATTGACAATACTATGGGAAACCAACACAATTTAAACTGCTTTTCACTGAAAATTGGAAGAATATCAAAAATTACTCATTGTTGTTTTCCTTAATGGATTATTGATGTGGCTTGCTCCCAGTGTTAGAAAGTAAACCTTATCAATAGTACGGCCTGCTATCTGTGCTGGGGCCTGGTGGGTGGTGATTGGATCATGGGGGTGGCTTCTGATGCTTTAGCACCCTCCCCCTAGTGCTGTCTCATGGTAATGTTTGTATTAGTCTTTTTTCATGCAGCTGATAAAGACATACCCGACATGGGGAAGAAAAAGAGGTTTAACTGGAGTTACAGTTCCACATGGCTGGGGAGGCCTCAGAATCATGGCAGGAGACAAAAGGCACTTCTTACATGGCAGCGGCAAGAGAAAATGAGAAAGATGCAACGGTGGAAACCCCTGATAAAACCATCAGATATCATGAGACTTAATCCCTACCACAAGAACAGTATGGGGGAAACCATCCCCATGATTCAAATTATCTCCCACTGGGTCCCTCCCACAACACATGGGAATTATGGGAGTACAATTCAAAATGAGATTTGGGTGGGGACACAGAGCCAAACCATATCAGAGTTCTCATGAGATCTGCTTGTTTAAAAGCGTGTAGCACCTCCACCTTCACTCCCTCTCTCCTGCTCCGTGATGTGAAGACATTCTTATTTCCCCTTTGCCTTCTGCCATGATTGTAAGTTTCTTGAAGCCTCCCAGCCATGCTTCCTGTACAACATACAGAACTGTGAGTCAATTAAACTTCTTTTCTTTATCAATTACGCAGTCTCAGGTAGTTATTTACAGCAGTGTGAGAACAGGCTAAAACAATTATCTTGAAAAACTCTTAAAAATTTTTAAAAATTCTTTTCGGAAAGTTATTTTTATTCTGAAAGCATTGTGGTCCAAAGAGTAACAGCTATTAAAATGAAGAGGAACATAGGAGTAAATCTTTATGACCTTTGGTTAGACAAAGCCTTCTTAGATACAACACAAAAAGCACATGCAACAACAACAAAAATCGATCAACTGAATTTAATTAAAATTTAAAACTTTTGTGTTGCAGACAATATCATCAAGAAAATAAGACAACCCATAGAATGTGGGAAAATACTTGTAAATCATACATCTGATAAGATCTTGCATCCAGAATATACAAAGAACTCTTATAACTCAATAATAAAAAGATAAATCACCCAGTTTAAAATGAGCAAAGGGTCTGAATAGACATCTCTCTAAAGAAGATGTATGAACAGCCAATAAGCATATGAAAAGATTTTCAACATCATTAGCCATTTGACAAATGCAAATCAAAACCACAATGAGATACCAATTCAAACCCACTAGGATGGCTACAATCAAAAATAAAGATAATAACAAGAGTTGGCAAAGATGTACTACCTTGCTGGTAGTACACTGGAAAACAGTTGGACAGTTTCTCCAGATGTTAAACAGAGTTATCCATTGACCCAGCAATTTCATCCCTGGGTAAATACCCAAGAGAAATGAAAACACACATCCACATGAAAACTTGTTACAATAATGTTCATAACAGCGTTACTCATAATAGTCAAGAGTAGAAATAATCCAACATCCATCAGCTGGTAAATGGATAAACAAAATGTGACATATTAATACAACAGAATATTGTATTGGCAATAGAAAGGAACAAAATACTGATATATGCCACAACGTGGACGAACTGTGAAACTTCAACTAAGTAGTAAAGAAGCCAGCCACATGGCTAGGTGTGATGGCTCACACCTCTTATCCCAGTGCTTTGGGAGGCCAAGGGAGGGACTGTTTGAGGCCAGGAGTTTAAGACCAGCCTAGGCAACACAGTGAGACCCTGTCTCTCCAAAAAAAGAAAAAAGTAATTAGCCAGATGTGGCAGTACACACTTGTAGTCTTAGCTACTTGGGGACCTAAGGCAGGAGGATCACTTGGGCCCAGGAGTTCAAGGCTGAAATGAGTTATGATTATGCCACTGCACTCCAGTCTGCAACAGAAAGAAACCCTATCTCTAAAAAGGTTATATATGTTGTATGACTCCATTAAATGACATGTCCAAAAGAGGAAAATCTATAGAGACAGTAAATTAATGGTTCCCTGGGGCTAGGCAGAGGGGATACAGAATCACGACTAATGTGTAGCATTTCTTTTGTGGGGAATAAAAATATTCTAAAATTAGATAGTGGTGATGGTTTCACAATTCTGTAAATATACCCAAAACCATTAAATGGTACGCTCTAAATGGATAAAGGTAAGGCATGTGAACTATAGCTCAATAACGCTGCTAAAAAATGAAGGAGGAACAACTATTACCATAAGAACACAATAATTAAATAACTATCTTAGACATAGTTTTATAACTAGAATGAGCTGATTCAATGCCAAATTTCAATATGATGCCTCTAAATCCAAACAAATAAAGATATATTTGAATGAAAATTTTCAAAACATGTAGATAAGCTTATTAGAAAAAAAATTCTTCTCCATCTTTATTAAGAGATTTGGAATAACATGGGAGCAAATAGTAAGAAAATCTATAGAATGTGAGAAAGTATTTGCAAATCATACATTTTATAAGAACTTGTACCCAGAATATACAAAGAACTCTTACAATTCAATAATAAAAAGATAAGTAACCCAATTTAAAATGAGCAAAGGGTCTGAATAGTTATTTCTCCAAAGAAAACATAAGAGAAATTCCAAAAGACTGCTCATTGGTTCTCCTGCATGGAAACCAATTAGAGAATGCTTACAGAAGCTGACATGCCTTTGGGACAAAATGAACTTCAACATGGGCTTATAATTTGAAAGCTGCCATAGAGTAACAAATGAGAAATACCATTAGACAGTTCTTGACACTCTTGGATACACTTTTCCCTACTGAGATGGTGTCAAATTGAACAGGCTTGAATGGACGTTTATTCTACACCCTTTAAAATAACAGCTGATAGAATTCAAGAGACCGTGGAGAAAGAAAAAAGAATGACCAAATCTCTACAATAATAAAATATTTGGATGGGCCTGAAGGCTTTAAAAGATTATTGATGGAATAATGATTGGTAACTTTTTAACTTACCACTAAGTGTATTTCCTGAAAGTAATACTGTACTAAATATAGGCAGAAGGAAGTTAATTTCTATTAGTTAACCTAAAAATACCACTTGTTAAACAAAATGATATTTATCTTACTTCAAAAAGTGAACTTTTCAAATTTATTTTTCTCCAGTGATATGCATACAATATAGTATCATAATAATTTATTAAAAAGCAAGTTATATAAGGTAGTAGCATATAAAAAGTACATACTCTCGCCTAAGGGACTATTTGAAAAGGCTTCTCAAGCTGAAATTACTACTGAGTCCACTATTAATGATTAATGCTCTAGCTCATATATCCCTTTACTTTATTTCCAAAACTTAAGAGGAAACTCAGGAGGGTGGCAGGAGAGGACGAAAGAGGAGAAGGAAAGGAAGAGCAGAAAAATAACAATGATAATGGGCTAAAGAAATACCAAGCCAAAAGAGGACTACATATGTAGACTAACATTATATACATGTATACATGTATGTCAGCTGTGCTTGGACAACTCAAAGCTGGGAATAGAGTTTTGGTTTCTCACCAGAAAGTTAAAGAGACCTGCTAAACTAGAAAAGACTTTATATTGTCAATCTTTCTCTCTTTACCAAGCATTGCCAAAGAATACACATGTGAGAGACATATGAGGGAAGTTCTAAATCTATTAAATTATTGTTAGTCTAGAAAGCCTTATAAAAACTGAGAAAAAAATGTTAAATCTTAGAAACCAATTTCCCTCAAGGAATTAGTAGAGAAATAATATGCAAACATGACCAAATACACATAAATTTGCTTTTATAAAATTTACAAGTCAAATAGATAATTTGCTATACATAACTTTCAGAGTCCCTTAAGTGTATAGTTCAAGTAAACTTCCCATCTCATTATGCCATCTAAAGTTTCACCAAATTGTTTTCCTATTTGTTAGTTTACTGTTTTAATTAAAATGTAAATATAATTTAATTTACTGTTAAATTATTGTCTTTTCTGTGAACTTCCCTCAATCCAAGTCAATTTTACAAGCTGCTTTCAAAAACGTACATGTTTTCCTAATAGGAACTATGCTGGAAAACATTTTATTTCTTTTTTTTAAATTCTAAAATCATTAAACAATCCATCCTTCTTCATATTCATGTTTTGTGAATCATTTTAGTAGTTAGTAATATTTCAGAAAATCTGCCTTTTAAAATGCATGATTTAAAAATATTTAATTTAGTGAGTCTTACAGACAATTTTTTAAAGAAACAAATACAAGACATATAATTAAAAGGTCAGGTGGCCTTGGAATTAAAGAGGCAAATTACGGGTTCAAAAATACCTGCTGACTAGTTATATGATACATTTGAAAGGTACCTTAAATTCTTTTGGATTCCACTTTTAAAAGTAAAATGAACTAGAGGTCTCTCTTGCAAATTCAAACTAAAACAATTCTATTTTTCTTCAATTTCTACTTCATAAGTCAAAAGGAATGTAGAATGCAATAACCATTCATTTTACAAACAACTTTGCACCCACAGAGAACTTTCTCTAAAATATATCACTGATTTTTAGAGACAGGGTAACTCATTTTCAAAGAAGAGTGAAGTCAATTCTGATAAATTTGTATTTCTTGACTCATAAAACAATATTGTCCATGATGAAAACAAAGAGATTTTAAATGACATATTTTTTAAATGAGCCAAAATCTTCATAAAACAGAATTAAGTACTTACTTTTACTTGGAGATCCTCAGAACTTTCTGTTGACATGTACAAAGAAAGCAGAACTGGCAAAGTATTTGTGACTGCAACAGCCCGTGCGTGTTCAGGAGTGTGTCTTCCGATCTGTCCTAAGGCCCAAGCAGCTGCAGCCTTAATATGATCTTCTGGTTCTTCTGACAAGCAGACTGACAACTGGGGTACACCCTGCAGCGTGGATCAAAAGAGCAAGTGTTATGAATCTACAGCAGGATTAAAGAGTCTTCCATGTCTCTCAAACATGAGAAGAAATCATTTCGGCCTTGATCCTTTTTTTCTTAAACGGTTCAATAAATGAGCACATCACAGGGGCTGTCATTTCTTAAGTCAATAAAATGACTAGAACTAAATTACCTTAATTATCTGTAACAATTCAACTAAACCAAGAATTTCTCTACTAGCTTTTATCCCCCACATAGAGAAGTATTTAACCAAACAACAGATATCACAGACTAGGAAATATGCAAAGCCAGATTTTACTGTGACAAACTAAAAATGTTTAGAATTTTAAAATCTTTTATTTTCCTTTGTTAAAAAGTTAATTTAGAATCTTCAAAGAAATTCTTTTCACCAAATATAATAAACCTGATATAATAAGCCTGAGAATAAAATAAATCAGTAAGAATCCTATCTAAGTTCCTTGTCAACGGAATATATTCACTAACACCTTTCCTGAAACAGTACATAAATAATTTTCCATCAATTATGGCCAACTTTTAAATTATAGTTCTTTCCACTTTAACATGATTGAATGTCAAAACAACAATGATTACTTTTGTTACACAGCACATGCTTACATTTCGCATCTTAGGCTTCAATTTTATCTAAATAATAAAAACAGAATTAACTAAAGAGCCTCAAATATATTACATTTTGTATACCCAAGGAACAATTTTAAAAAATCAAATTCTAATTCCAAATTCTGTATAGGTGTGATTTGCTCACTAATTTGAGATTATGGTAATGACCTTAAATTTAGTACCACAAAAAAAGATCCCGTGGTTATGCTACCATAGCAAAGGCCAGAATCATCATATATACTTTTATTCTTTGCTTTTTAATTTGGTTATTAAGACCAATTTCCTGAAGAGATCAGCTATATTTCTTCATTGGCTTCTTTCCTACAACTAAAAATGTATGTCTGCCAATATTAAAGGTCAGACCTGTCTCCAGAATGAAGCAACTTTCCAGAAAGTCCACATGTCCAGGATGTAACAAGACTGAAGAAGCAGGAGGAAAAGGAGACAGTGCCTCTACTCCATCCCCAAAGCTCTGACTTTTTGGCCTCAGTTGTTATGAATAACAAATAAGATAAGGAATGAAAATTTGCTTTAAAATTACTATTTAAATGTAAGGTTATATTGCTAGTCTTTATAGTACCACACAGGAAAAGGAGAGAGTGCTACCATACTATGTGGCTTGCCTGAAACTGCTGGAGTTTCAGCAAGCAACACCTTGATCTCTATCTGAAAAACAAACCAGGTGGGAAAGGCCAGCAGTAACCTTAAACCAAAGAAGGGGAGAGCTTCCTGGTTAGTTTCAGGAAGACATATGGGAAGCAACAGCAATTGCTTCTTCTTTCATCATTCTTTCCATGCATAAGCTTCATGACTATCCACAAAAGAACCAAGGATCAAAATCCTAGTAACATCCTTACCATGACCCTTTAGAAAGCACCACCATTGCTCTAGTCACTATCACAGTCTGTGGTAATAGAAGAACAAAAGGAAAAGAGCAGGATAAAAGGGAGTAACGCAAAGAATTATCATGAAATAGGTAGAAAATAAAGATCTGAGGCTCCTTTTTATTCTGAGGATTAATAAGGGATAAAAAAAATCCACATTTCTATTTAACATACAGCAGCAGGTTTTCTATGCTGATAAGAAACCCACGGCTCAGAGGGTCACCACACACACTGTAAGCACACAGGCTTTGAAGCATTCGTCCAGAGATCAATATTTATTCATTAGCACACATTTCATAAGCACCTACTATGTGCCAGGGCTGCACTAGATGAGGGGTTCTTACAAAGTTGTGAATTGAGATAAAGCAAAATCCCTAGAGCATGGAAACAAAAACACTGCTATCTGACACGTGCTCTGAATTGCCTAAATCTAAGAAGAGAAATAGTTCATAAAAGCTGAAGAAGAGAAAGTGGATAAAAAGGGATGTCCAAGCCATTGTCATCTCCCACTCAGGTGGCAGGAAATGGAGGGGTATATAGACCTCCCAGAATACTGAAAATGACTACTGGGCATGGCATTTACAAATAGGTGTTTCTAACCAAGGTAAGATTTACATGTTTGTAGATATGTACAATTAATCCTTCAAGACACAAATAATATTTAAATATAGATAATACTAATGCTCAAAAAAGTTGATATTCTGTTTACTCAGAAACACTGAGTAAAACTTTAAACTTCCCATAACCTTGCTAATAAAACTTGCTAATAAGCATTGAAACAATCAAAATTTTTTTGCTCCAGTCAGTTATATCTTGTATTCTGTGGGAGAACATTAATCTGTGGTTCTCTCTTAGAATTTCTTACTGCAACTAGAGGAAAATGAAGCAAGAACAAACCTTAGAAATGATGACCGCCATTGCTAGGTTCTCAGAATGAGCTGCTACGTAACCAAGCATCATGATGCCAGGCAGCCGTGTGTTCCCTTTGCAGGACCCAATGCAGTCAATCACGGCAGCAACCCCTCCTGCGTTAACTACCAGCTGTGAAAGCTAAGAGATGGGAACAAGAGTTAGATCACCAGGACCCTACAATGGTCTTTAAATCCGTTTAATATTGCCACACTCTATTTAGTACCTAAAACCAACTGGTGAAATTGAATTATCCTTTAGTGAAATTATTATATTTATTAAAGAAATATACAAGCACACTAATCCTGCTAGTTCAAATGCACAAATACACTCACTGTGAGGAGCTTTATTCTGTGGTTCAATTTTTCATGCATCAAAGGCACAACTTTTATCCCAATTATAATGGATGTCAAAATTCCTCACCTAGACTCTAAGTCTAGGGCTAGTTCATAACTAACTACTGAAACCCCCAATCACAATGGGTGAGTATGAAGCAGATTAACCACTGAATGCTGAAAGATAATGTCAGACTTGAAATATTCTAACCTAATTATTTCCCCCTTGCTAGTAATGATTACTTGCTGAGTGCACTTTAATTTTGAAAAATCTCAATCAAATAAAGATGTTAGATGAAATAAAGAATGAGGACTTAAAGTTTAATGAAATAAAAATTGGTTAGTCAAAATATACACAGAAAAAAGATACTTCAGAATCAATACAGGCCTGCATTCTCTCTTTCTTTCCCATCTAGAACTCAGAGCAGGAAATCACCACGTAAGAGCAGCTACTGGAGTGGTAACAGTAGGCCAGGGGACCTTTGTGATTTCTCCCAACCTGGAGCTATAATAATGTTTTCACTACTCCCAGCTGACATAAAATGGTAAGGATGGCAAAGTTCCATAGTCCTCACAATCTAGAAATGGAAAGTTTGAAATGACTAAAAACAGATTTCAAGCTCAAACTCAGCTAATATAACCCAGTGTTCTCGACTGGTGGCAATTTTGCTCCCTGAGGAACATACGGCAAAGTATGGAGACATTTTTTATTGTCACCACTTGTGGGGGAAGGGTGCTTTTGGCATCTAGTGGGCAGAGGCCAGGGATCCTGCTAAACATCCATCCTACAATGTGCAGGACCAGCCCCCCACAACAAGGAACTACCCAGTCCAAAACATCACCAGTGCAGAAGACAAGAAATCCCAACCCATCTAGATCATGTGCCACAACCCCTAGGCCCTATAAACAAATTGATATTTTATTTAAAAACTAAAACTATTACATATTATTGTGGCTTGAAGTTTCTTTTCACCTCGGGTGTATGTTTTGCAATCTCTCTAATTAAAGTAGAAGCATTTTTCTTCACGTATTCATCCTTGTCCTTCAGACAGGTAAGTACAACTGGAAAAATCTCTGCTTCAACAACCATTTCTGCCAGATCCACGGAATGTTTCGAAACCTGACTGAGAGCTGAAAGGATCTGATGCTGTGAAGCAAAAAAAAAACCAAAACAAAACACTATATAGCATCCACTACAGAGTTCAGATTTAAACAGTTTTATATATATTCAAATTCTTTTATAAAGGGAAAAAAATGTACATGCCTAAACAACCTAAGACTTCTTAGTCTTGAGACATTCACATTCTAGTCTTATACCCAAGTTTTAAAAATTCCTAATTTCCAAATTAGTTCTTAATATTTTGAAACTCTATTACAGATGATTAAATAACATGACCTCTGGATGAATACCATTTCTTAATTATACAATACTGAAATTGCTAATTTATGAGAAATGTGATCATTTAGTACAAAAATCATCAAGCAGAACAATATCTTTGACATGATGCTGATACAATTTCAAAGAATGTTCCATTGCTTAGTTAACATTAACAATTTTAAAACATTATAGGGTGTAACTATTAGAATATAAAAGTATAATTGGTGACTGTTGACTAAAAATCAGATTTTAGAAAGCTATAAAAAAGGCTAAGATAAATATGGCAATTTCCATAAGAAACAATATTATGGTGGAGGGTTAAAAAATCTTTAGGTCTTTTCCAAACCAAAGATTTAATCATTATGTGATTCTGTATTTTAATTATTAATGTTAACACTGTTGTTACTTCTGATCTTATACATAGTTTCCCCAATCACATCTTTGTTATCTAATCCTTATGGTATTATTTTCATATATTAAGAGACCAAATACATAATATATTCATATCTGTTTTCAATGATAATTTACTAATTATTTTTAGATGCGAAATATTCACGTGTACGCATTTCCATTTTCTTACATTATAAAAAGGCTGATGTGTTTTTCAACCTTATTTTGAAATACCTTCAATTTAGCATCAGGGTTCAGGAGCATCTGGGCTAAGTGAGCAACAGCTCCTGCATCCACTACTGTCTGTGCTAACTCTGGAGAATGCTTTGCAATATCACTGAGGGCTGAAGCAGCAATCCTTTTCAAAGCAATTTCTGGCTCCTGGATACAGAGTACTAAAAGAGGAACAGCTCCCGCATCCACCACAGCTTGTGACAGTTCTGTGGGTCCAAGAAAAGTAATTAAGTGAGTATGGGTGACTGACCCTTGTGCAAGCCATTTTTCACCCTGACAGATACAGCAAAGAAAAAAGGGGAGGGTGTACTTCACTCTCTCGACATCTGCATTTCAAATCAGGATTCCTGGTTTCATAAACCATGTGGACCAATCCTGAGCTGAAAAGAATACAGGTCAATAGATGGACCTCCATTTACATGAACACATTTGAGGTAGATTAGGCTGAAATGGCTTGTTATTCTTTTTTTTTTTTTTTTTTAAGAGAGTAAGCAGATGTCAGCTGTTTAAGCTCTGACAATTCTGCACTTCTCAATAGACAAGCATTTTATGCATGGTTTACAATAACAGAGAAAATTTAAGTACCAAAAATTTACCAACCACACTAATTGGGCAATATTTTGTGCTATTTACGTGAGTAAACATTAACATGAATCTTGTGCCAATAATGTCAATCTTTAGATTCCTTTTATCTTGTAGTACTTTTAAAAGATTTTTTAAAACTTTCATACAAAATAGAAAGCTGCCTTTTCATTGTACATGTAAAAATACTTTCAAAAATGAGATCTACTACTAATCAATAAACTTTTGTATATAAATGTTAATGTTTACATACAATAATAAATTTATCTTACTCTTGTCAGAAATCAACTACATATCTTTTGAATATACATGTTGATTTACTTGTATGTCCAAGAATAATAGCTTACAAAAATAACACATTTTAAATTACAGATAATGGGAGACAGGCAAGCAGACCCATATAATATCATAGAAAAACTGCTGTTTGAGAAGCATAAAGCACCACATGCAGTTACAGATACTACTCACATTGTATTCACGGCCCCTCTTACTGAATCACAGACACCCATTTCTGGAATCTCTTCCTTTCAAAATATGTTCTTATTTTCCCAGATGTGTAGTGCCTTAGTTATATATAAATGTCTTAACTATCAAGCTAAGAGCTCTATTTAGCATATCACTTAAAGTATTTAATTTGAAGATAATACAGTGTTTGATTTTTCAAAGTATTGATAATATCACATCTTCTAAAAGAAAATGTTAGCAAATACAGGTTAGTGTCCAATATTTGCTTCCCTTAAATTATCATAATTATCTTAGAAGTCCCAATATTGTATAAACAGTTCCTTCATTATTTCATTAAACAAGTATTAATGGAGGGCTATTAAGTGACAGGCTCATTCAACTCGGCGCCAATGACACACTTCTGCAAATTAACACTACATTCATTGGCAAAGGTATGTTTCAATTTTTAAAATTTGGTGTAAAAGCTAGTATACTATGGGAAGTTCTTAAGTAATCTCAAGAACGAGAGGTAGATGAGAGGAATATGTTTTGTTTTGCTTTGTTTTTAAAAAAGAAGACAATAGCCAACAGACTGCAGTATCAATCTAGCAATATAACAGGTTTCTCAGAAACAGCCTCTGGGATGCTACTGCAATAGACTGAAGACCATGAAGACAGCAGGTGACATAGGTGATCACTATTTCTCTTCCCACACCACATCCCCACCCCCATCCAAAGGAAATGGGAAAAAAATATAAAATGTTATATTACATATAATTTCTAAATAAAATACTCATTTTCTGATAATTAACATTCTGCTTAAGAATTCAACTCAATCCAAATTATATAGGTGTCATACAGTAATAATTTATATGTTCCTATTTAAGAACACCTGGAATATATATATATATAAAATGGGCTGAATATTTTGTTTTGATGTATTTTCACTTTTATACGCAGTTTATAGGAGTAAAGAGTATGTAGCAAACTACAACTGTTTAAAAGTACTATTAAAAACTCAAGATGCTTTTTAAAAAACATCTATTATCTACCTTTATAATTCCCATTCATTTGACTTGCTCCTTGAGTAATTCTTGAGTGCAATATCTGCCTTCCTTAGAATAACATAATGTTAATAAGAAAGCAAATTCTGGTCTTCTAACTTGTTACCCAAGTTTCCTATTCTTTCCAGAGTAGCAATGTTAAATGTGGGGACAGCTGAGGATGGCAGTGGAAAAAGATTTGCCATGAAGGTAATGAAGTTTCCAAGGACCTAAAGTGGGCCTAGCAATTTTGTACTTGCAATTTCATATAGTTTACATCCCCAGATGTATATGGTTCTACTGCTCTTGAGTAGCACACTTTTTACTTAGAAGTATTGTTCTCCTAGCTTCAAACATATGTTAATATTAAATATCAGACAGTGAATGTATATACAGGAAAGAATACAATAGGCCTAAATAATGTAGACTCTACATATTACACATCCAACAGGCTATTTCACTCTGCCTCTGTCACTACTCTTTTTCCCATTATTGTTTCCTCTGATGTTTCTATGCCAGCCACTGTTGGCATCTACCCAATAGCCATCGTCAGCTAGGGCAGAGGCTTGTGAGCAAATCCTAGACCTAAGCAGAAGTCAGCTGGAAACAACTGTGAAAGCTCCGTAAAAACTGAGATACACAGCAGCAAATACCATCTCTTCTTTTTTTTTTTTTTTTTTTTTTTTTTTTTTTTGAGACGGAGTCTCGCTCTGTCGCCCAGGTTGGAGTGCTGTGGCCGGATCTCAGCTCACTGCAAGCTCCGCCTCCCGGGTTCACGCCATTCTCCTGCCTCAGCCTCCCGAGTAGCTGGGACTACAGGCGCCCGCCATGGCGCCCGGCTAGTTTTTTGTATTTTTTTAGTAGAGACGGGGTTTCACCATGCTAGCCAGAATGGTCTCGATCTCCTGACCTTGTGATCCACCCGTCTCGGCCTCCCAAAGTGCTGGGATTACAGGCTTGAGCCACCGCGCCCGGCCCCATCTCTTCTTTGTTGGAAATGGTCATGTCTACAAATAACATCTGGAACTCCTACATCCATCTTGCAACTATAATGGAAGAAATCACCAATATGCTGAGGATGGCTGAGTACAAAAATGAAAAACATCCAGGTACTCCATGACACTGTTCAGCTGCAAAACCAGCTTTGGAACTGCCCTTACTCTGAACTTTGTGTCATGTGAATTTTAAAAATGTCCTTATTGCTTAAGCCACTTGTAGTTTACATTCTACAACTTACAGCTAAAAACATCCTGACATAATTCCTTCCTCCCTTATGCTTGGTGTCTGTACATGGTTTTCTCTCCTCTTTCACTCACTGAGTGCTTGTTAAATGCTTACTATGTGCTGCACACTTGGCTAGATCTTGGGGAGGGGGAATAAAAACATTGTTCTGTTCTAGAAAATCCTGCTCAGAGTGAATACATGAACAGGCCACTACAAGTATAGAACACAGCCAGGAATCAGGTCTGTGGAGTGTTCAGGGAAAATGTATGCAAAAGTATCATTTCAGGAAGTGCTTCCAATCTTCCTTCCTTCTCCTCTTTTCTTTTTTTCTGTATTTTCTTTCTTTCTTTCTCTCTTTCTCTCTCTCTCTCTCTCTCTCTCTCTCTCTCTCTCTCTCTCTCTCTCTTTCTTTCTTTCTTTCTTTCTTTCTTTCTTTCTTTCTGATGGAGTCTTGCTCTGTTGCCCAGGCTGGAATGCAGTGGTGTGATCTTGGCTCACTGCAACCTCCACCTCCTGGGTTCAAGCAATTCTCTGCCTCAGCCTCTTGAGTAGCTGGGATTACAGGCACCTGCCACCATGCCTAGCTAATTTTTTGTATTTTTAGTGGAGACAGGGTTTTGCCATCTTGGCCAGGCTGGTCTTGAACTCCTGACCTCGTGATCCACCCGCCTCGGTCTCCTAAAGTGCTGGGATTACAGGCATGAGCCCCTGCGCCCAGTTTTTTCTGTATTTTCTACTCAAAAAAACCCAGCAGCAACCAAAACACATACAAAACTTCACACACCTAAAAATCACTTCCCATAGGAGAAATCTCATGAAGTTCATTTTAAACTCAAATGTGGAAATGAGTTTTTAGATGTTCAATTATCACACTTATGAAATCAAAGATTGATATGTACTGACTTAGATGCTCATAAAAGGTTGACCAAAAAAAGCAGTGAGCCAAGAAATTTATTGTCAGTCCCTGAAAATACCATTGCCTCATTTCAAATTTTAAGTAAATGTTCAAAAAATTTTTATAATATATCTTCCATTATGCAATAACATGTGACATATCCTATACCATTACATAACAAACAAGATTAAAAAGTGGTTATAACTATGTCTAAAAATGCAAAGAGAAAAGGCTACCTGTTATACCAACATGCTAACAGCATTTATACTGGGTTGATGGTACTATGGGTAGTATATTTTTTCTCTGTTTGCCAAATTTTCTTCAATGTGATTTTTTAAAAAATAAATACAAGCATGTCTCTCACCCATACATATAGCTACTGCTGGGCCTAACTGTACTAGCATTATTATTACAAAGAAAAAACAAATATAAAATTTTTAGCCTTTTTTTTAATACAGCTGAAAGTTTTTTATTTTAAAAGATGGTAGAATGTATGTCCTCTTTAATAAGGCACACCTAAATAAGACACATCATACATATTACACATCCAACAGGCTAGTTCATCCTGCCTCTATCACTATTTTTTTAAATAAATTATATGAAAAGAGTGTATAATTCTTCTTGAAAGAATTAATGGTATATACTAGAAATAATATTCATTTACTTTTTCACCCTTACCCTGCTGCCTTAATTCATACCCTTATTAAAGTTAAAATATTACATTCTTAAAACATTAGGGGTTATTTACTTTTAACCTTTTTTTTTATATACTTTAAGTTCTAGGGTACATGTGCACAACATGCAGGTTTGTTACATATGTATACACGTGCCATGTTGGTGTGCTGCACCCATTAACTGGTCATTTACATTAGGTATATCTCCTAATGCTATCCTTCCCCCCTCTCCCCTCCCCACAATAGGACCCAGTGTGTGATGTTCCCCTTCCTGTGTCCAAGTGTTCTCATTATTCAGTTCCCACCTATGAGTGAGAAGATGTGGTATTTGGTTTTCTGTTCTT